TGGGAAATGCCAGGAAGCCCCAGAAAATATTCCTGAAGAGCACAAACGAAGAGTAATTTCCTCCCTGTTGTCCAGAAAGCTACATGGATGTGTCCAGTCCCTAGCAGCCAAGCTTGGCTTGAAAGAGACCTCATTTTTCACTGTTCTTGTTTGCTAAATACGAATTTGAGTTTTGTACTGCTTTGTTTTGTCATCTGCCTTGGAAGGGTGTGTAATTGATGTTGCAGACGGGAAGGCCGCCGAGGCATCTCTTTCCAGCTCGCCTGCGGAGTCTACCTTGGTGGGCCTACGTAATGAAGAAAGCGCCAGAGTACAGGGACAGAAAATGGCTATACATCTCCAGCGATCGTACCACCCCAATGTCTTTTGATCCTCTGGGTTTTATTTTTTCTTCCTTTAAGTGTTATTTTTCATCGCGTACAGCCTGGCTTAAAAGCCATCATAAATCTGGGAGATGCAGTGAGCATTAACTGAGACAGCACTATGTAACCTAGTGAGATCATGAGGCTTTATAAATCAGCCTGGGCGAAGTTCAGCGGAGAATAGAAATGTTGAGAGTGAGGCTCCAACTAAGCCTAGCGAGACATCAATAAAGCAGGAGGGGGACCTTTTCCTTTCCAGGCCAAGAGAATATCTTCAGAGTCAGTTGACAAAAATCCTCCCCCCCCACCAGCAGACTTTCAACATACAGTTTGCAGTTGGGTAGGGTTGCACCTCAGGGGACAAGGATGGGATTCTGCAACTCAATGCATGCGTGCCAGACTGCTGCCAAAGTCATAAGAGTGATTTTTGCAAAAATGCATGTTGTTGACAAGGAAGTGAGCTGTAGGCAGGGCACCCACAACGGTCAAGATAGTGGCCATGAAAGGGGCAGGGCTTCAATCTTGTGGTTGTGTCTGACGTCTTGACTTTTTTTTGACTCTCCCTCCGAGGACACCCCTGCTGATAGAATAAAGCGCTTCAGTGATGTGCCAAGTTATGGTGAATATCAAGGATTCCAAACAGATGCTTTGATTTGGATGTATGTGTTAAAAACACCTCCTTGATACTCTTTCAATAACTCTAAGATCCTCCTGAAATGTAGCACATTTCTAGAAGACAGCAGGAACCCCTTAACTGGAGATGAGTCCTTCCATAATAATGTTGGCCACAGAAGATCATATTTAGCATTGCAACTGAATGAAAACATTCGGGCCCTAAAAACTAGACCCTGAACGCTCATGAAAAATCCAGATCAGCCAGTCATAAAAGAATGTTTCTCCCTGTGACTTAAAAAGAAACTAAACATCAAACAGCTTCCTTTAGCTGGTCATGCTGATGATTCCTGCTTGGTATTTTCCATAATCCTCCTTCAGCTGTTTTCAAAATAATTTTCAGGAATGCATTTGATCCTGTTAAAGTGAAAGCTTCTTTTAAACGGCCTTTTAAATATAAGCTGTCTAGGCGATTTTCTCTGTTCAGAAGCGAGCGCGATGACTACAAATCGGGGAGCAATATTTTCACATACGTTCACACTACTGAATGATCTACCAGAGCAACAGGAGGTAGTGACCCCAAGCCCACCGCTTCTTTCTTCCAGAAGGTGTCTCTGCAGACAGCTTGGTAGTGCCTTAAGAACACGCATTTTTGCAAAAATCACTCCCGCGACTTTAGCAGCAGTCTGGCACGCGGGCACCGAGTTGCAGAATCCCATCCTCGCACTGTGTGTGTTGTCAGAGCTATTTTTTGCATGAGACCGTCTTTGTCTATAATAATCGGGAAGGAAGAATTTAGCCCTCCGCTAAGATTTTTACCTGTAGGCTACGTGCAACAAGGTGTACGGGCTCATGTGAACTGCTGGGTAGGGTTTATACAGGAATTACATTTATTTGGATTTTGGCACAGCGGGATTCACCTTCTTTGGGTGACTGGCGGACAGGCTGGCAACCTCCCAGCGTTGGGAAATAGTTGGATCTGAGTTGAATCTGCCTCCACCTCTCTGTAGACAGAGAACCCGGGGCTGCTGCTGCTGCTGCTGCTGCTGCTGCTGAGAAGTTGGTGGGGCATCACTCGTAACAAGTCCCCCCCCCTGCCTTTTCCCCAATAAAATGTAGGCGTCTTTTAAATAGACGTTTGAGCATCAACACGTGAACTGGATCAAAATACTTGCGTTGGTTACCCGTGGGCAACGCGGATTAAGGCTAGATTGTCTTCTCCCAGCGTACTGAAAAATATTGATGGATCTGTACTTAGGGAGAGAGCTTCCACAATCAATTTTCTCACCAAGGCTCAAAGGGCCTTCCAACACTTAATGCATCATAACACAAAGACAGAGATTTCTGCTCTGTTCGGTACTTTGAAATTCTTCCTCCTGCCCGCTGCTGTTCACAAGAGCCTCTGGGCTTGCCTCTGTTTGTGTTTGAATACTTCCAAGCAGGAGGATATCTGTATGCGTGTGGGTCAAAAAAGTCAAGATGGTCATCACAGCACTACCGTCACTCTTTACGTGCGTTGCACGTAAAATCACGCGGTCGTGGGCACCACCTTGACTTTTAGGATCCCCCCCCTTCAATGCTTCTGTAGAAAGAAGTTCGAGTCCACATCTGCTTGGTCTCAACTGTTCATCTCTGTGATAAACCCAGAAATCTTTCCCAGCCCGTATCAGTTTTTTTCTGCTATAAAATTATGATCGCTGGATCTGATTGTAAATCAATTAGCAGCCCTGGGAAAAAGACAACCATGACAATTTAATCGACACTTAAGACAAATGACACTTAAGACAAATACTTGAAAACGCAAAACCTTTTATTCCAGTTTTGAGATAATTAGGAGGTTGAGAGGCTTTCTAGAAACACGCATTGACTGGCAAATACAGGAGGATTTATTGACATAAAGGCTTTGATCAAGGGAATAATTTAATATCCACATATACATTTATTTTGGCGATCGTGAAGACTTAGGGAGGATATCTGAGGTGGATGGAAAGGTGCAGTTCTATAAATGGGAGAATTGGCCTTTTCTGCTAGGAAATTCTCAGCTTCCTCCCCAACTACTTTTCTTGGTTTCTTCTGCATAAAGCAGAATGTGGCATAAAACCAACGTAGGCAGAGGCTGCAAAGCTGATCCTCAAGGAAGGCAGTAGGTTGTATAGTTATCTCCTGATTGGGGCAAAATTACTACCCTGAAACCACACAACCTACTACCTCACCCCGTGGAAAGCTGGGTGAAGCTTCAGCTGACCTTGACTGACCCTGAAACTCAGTGCCGGGTCTGGTTCCTCCTCGGCTGGGAGATCATCCGACTGGCGTCATGAGAGACTTGAGGACGCTCTGACTCACATGATTTGGTCATGTCCCGTCACGGCTCCCTTCTGATTTCAAGTTACAATACATGTTAGCAGAGTCTCAGAAAAAAAGAAGAAGCTGTGGATGTAAACACGATGTTGAATTATACGCCTGGAAGAGGGAATTTGATATTTTATGAAGAACTCTCACTCTACCGAGCCTGGGGCTTGGGAAAGATAATTCTTTCACCCACATAAAAAGAAATGTATACTCCTGATGTTAAGGAATAGATTTAAGAGATGTGTTATTTATACATTTTTGAAACGTCCTTATATTCTAACACTGAGAAGTTGGCTCAGTATGTTTCCATATGGTTTAGATTTAATAATAAGTGTAAGGATTGAATTAATATTATATTGACATCACATGGATCCTATTTTTTCCCCTTAGTCTCTTTTTTTTTCTTCCTCCCATTATGTTTCGTTTATCTTAATCACTGTAATATATTGTAGTTTCTTGCTGTAGGATCACTAATGGACTATTTTTTCTGTTTGTTATACATTATTAATAAAATTTGAAAATATTTTAAAAAGTATTTGGATGGGAGGTCACTGGGAAGACCAGAACTGGGATAGGCTGGAGAGTTTAAAAAAAAATGATGAAGGAGGCAACAATCTTGCACCTTCAGGGACCTTCTCATCCATGGGTCACCACCTCACTGTGAGGAGCCATCCTGAAGTGCCCTCCTCCTTCTCTCACCCGTGACCCTGAAAGTCAACTGTGATGGGAATGTGTCATGGTTGGCAGTCTGCATAAGTGGCCACCCAGGAACACTGACTAGGAATACACGCCTGGACCATCTTCCTTCCCCGCCGATGCTCGCTGTCAATTCTCATCAGTGTCAATTTCAGACAGCCATCCAATTCTTCTGAGACTGACATCTGCATCAGCTTGCAATCTTTTAAAACTTTTATGAAATTCCTACACAAAGGAAAGTGACTCTTTTGTCCTCTAAATCTCTGCAAGAGTTATTCTTTTTCTTTTCGTTTTGAAAAAAAAAAATCAGTCCATTGTTAGACAAACGTATAAATCAGGACCTAAGGACTGTTCATTCTGGGTACAACACACACACACAGAAAGACATTATGGGGAAGTAGGGCATCTGCAGGGTGTGTGTGTGTGTGAAAAATATCAGGTTGGTGGCCACAACCACAGGATTGAAGGCTCGCCCTGTTTTATGGGCGCTGGGGCAGGTCAAAGAGGTGGGACTTTGATGAGGTGGGTGCAGCCACCAGCTTAACATCACATAAGTTCAGTGGGTTTATTGTAAGAAACAGGCTGTTGGGCTGTGATGTTGGCTTGAATTTCTAATATTCTACCGTACCTTCTAAGCTTTTACTCGGTGTATATACCATGCACAAGTAACAAGGCGCAGTTTCCAGAAGGATGGGAAGATGTCTCCTGTGTTGCTATCACAGCCACTTCAGGAAAGACAGTAGATTGTATAGTTATCTGACAGGCAGGGTCTAACCCTAAAACTATACAACCTACTACCTCACCCCAAAGGACAGTCTGATTCCAGGGCCGTTGGCGTCCGTCCGTCCCCCGTGAGACCTCCTGGCCACCTGTAAGACAAAAACGCAAACAAACTCTCCACGGTAGCGAAGAACTATCGGCAATTGCTGGTCCGCTCGGTAACCCCCAGATTTCTATTAAATCCCAAGGAAAGGCTTCAGGAAGGAATTCTTCTCCTTGCTTTTCAGAATAGGAGGTGTGAGCAGCCAGGGAGGCTGTGAGGAGGACCAACGGATGTGTATTTGCAGAATTTATGCAAGTGTGACCTTTGGGCCTGGTTGGAAAAGAGGTCGTCCTCAATGTTGCCGAGCCATCAACTCCAGAAGACCCAGCCAAGATGTGGCGATTTGAGGCTCAGAACTGTTCTGAACTTTAAATTTATTCACTGTCAGAGAACTTTTAGTCCTGAAAGTTTAAATCTTGTCATCAGCCTGTGAAAGGGACCTGAACAATTCTGGGCCAACAGAAGAGAGATTCCAACCTTAAAAAGCAGATGCTAGCACAGGTGTCTGGTGGAAGCCACAAGGATGCCAACATGATGCTGCAACGTCTTTTTGATGCTATCAGGCTTCGACTGGACGCCTAGGCTGGCACCTGCTGTTTAGATTCCCAATGCACGTTTGCGTGCATTTGATGTACTTTTCTGCTACGAAATTACAAACCGGGCTGCAAAGCAGCGTTACTCCAGCGAAGGCTATCTAGGGACACTCTCTGATCTCTGGTCCAACCAGTAATTGCTCTAATGACCCATAATTTTAAGAACCTGAGTTTGGTGAACGGTGTCTTCTTCTGATCTTCTTGGCCATGCTCTGGTGGAGAAAGAAAAAGACGAGATTCTCGGCGAGGCATCTCGGAATCCGCAATCTTGACTGCAGAGAAAAAATATGAAATGCATAATAGTTTGGGACAAAACGTTGATTTTCTGGTGAAGAACTTTAACAAACCCTTGTGCTTTTATTTGTTTATTATTTATTTAGCGTATTTGTTTAATGTACTTATTTACAGGGCTTAAAGACTGCGCGAATCCAGAGACTCTGAGTGGTGTGCAACCTGTCCCCCTCCCCAATCTGTTACTTGGGTTGTGTCTACTCAGAAGTAAGGTGCCTTGAAACTCATGGCACATTCAGGGTAGACAATCACTCTTTGGGCTCCATATGGCACAGATTAGGAATATGTGGTGTAGCAGACCACTTCCAGATGCATAGATGATCCACACATGTCTGTCACGACTGCCAGAAACAGGAGGAACCACTTATGTGGCATTACATAAGGCGGAACTATGTATTATCAAAAACATCGGCCTGGTGCTGAAAACGTACAGCTTGGTGTTAATTTCTCTCCTCCCACTCACTAACAATTTAATTTAATTCTAATGCAGGCAACTTTTGGCAGATGGGACCCACACTGATGGAAATTATTTATTTCGCTGCCAAGAACCTAAATGGCAGGTGATGGCCAAAATCTATCTCCAGGGTTTCCCCCCCCCCCTTCTTCCTTCCTTTTTTGGGTTGGTTTTTTTGGGGGGGGAACGGGAAATTGTTAGAGACGCGTCAAGCTTATCAGAGTTTTGATGCACCTATTTTGGGTGGTGTTCCACCAAAAACTGGTGGAAAAACGTGCTGTGGTTCTTCATGGTTTTAGGGAACTTGATCGACGGGCCCATCTCTATTGCAGAGTAGTGAATTTGAAACACCAAATGCCAAATGTTATGGTGAACATCAGAGGTCAGATTACTGGGAAGGCACGGTGAGCTGATTCCTATATAACGGCCACTGTTTCCATTACGTATGTCTTCGCTCCCAACTTCACGCCTATTTTTTTCATCGACTGGTCTCAGTTAATCTTAATTTTAGCCTCTTTTTAAGTTCAGTTTCTCAGCTAGAGAAACTCAAGGGGAGTTAAAAAACATAAGATGCAGCCTCTCCATGCAATCAAATCCCTTCCTTTGATGTGTGCATGCGCAATGCGCATTAAAAAAGGGAAGGCTTTAATCGCACAGGCATGGTTGCCATCTTGACTTTTTTGACCCCCTCCCTGAGGACACCCTGCTCTCGGTTCAAGAGTTTCTCAAGAACTTACACCACAATAATAACTGTAATTACACTGAGTCATTAGAGGAATGTTTCTCAACCTTGACAACATTAAGAAGTGTGGACTTCAATTCCCAGAATTCCCCAGCCAGCC